GGGGGGGGGAAGGGGGGGGGGAGGGGGAGAGGGAGAGAGAGAATGAAGGATGGAGCGAAATGAATTTGAATTTTAGGGTTAGGGTTATACCGGATATTTAAATAGAAAGTTGGGCCCATGATTTATGCAGAGTGAACTTGAAAGCCTTGGGACGATGTAATTTCCTCTATGTAATGATAAGAATAATTTCTTTTAATAAATTTTATTACCAAGTGGGTTCCGTGTGGTATTCAAATACAAATATAAATAGTGCAAATTTGCCTCTTTTGCTGAGCCTTGTAAATTTGTAATAATTTTATCACTATTTTTCTCCAAAAGCAACAATGATGCCAAAACTTCGTTATGCTTTAAGCAGTGGAAAAGATGACTTGCAATTTCGAAACTTTCTTTCATTAATAAATATAGGGAAAGCATTTAAGATGACAGATTCCTAGCACTTCGAGTCTGCGACCTCGAAGATCAATGATTGGCCTCCATAACCACCATTCTAATCTCCTGATTTTATATACTATTGCCTCGTACTAAATTTGATTATGAAATAATTAAAAGCATTCCATGGACTTGGGAGGTAATTTTATGTTCTTGTTAACGGATTTTGTATATTAAACTGATTTTCGACCCCTAGTGTTTAGCAATTATTATTCTTAGTTTGTGACCGAAATTTTGATAATTTGTGACCGTATAATATGTTGTGATTTATTACATTTGTGATTTGTGATCGATAAATAAATCGCACCTTATAAATTTTTGATTTGTAATCGATGAACAAATTGTGACCTATACCTTTTCCTTGCATGCAAATCCCAATCAAAGGGAACAAGATCGAAACAATCCTGGAACAACTAAATATACATATACCCAAAAAACTATTAATTAAAACTAGAACATACTCAAAAACAAAATACTGCAGAAGTAGATCAAAAATAAGAAAATGCACATGTTCACAAAGTATAAATGATCATAAGCTAAACATGAACACTACAATTTATAGGGGGATAGGCTCTTCCAACAAAGCATGAGCTGTATTCGTCCACATTTTGCTTTCTAAAAGTTTGACTTGCACAATAAGTCAATAACTACCTTTCTTATACTTCCATATCAGAACTTCACTATAGATATGCCCTGATGAGAGAGAGAGAGTACGAGGGAGAAGCATTGGCCGGATGAAGAATGATAAGTAAAGTGCAAGATGAATTACTCGAGGCATTACGTGAAGAAAATTCAGATGACAATAAAGTTGAGAGGGTCCTGAAATCATCTGTGAATGGGATTTCCACCTCGTCCGGGTGCCTCATATCCACCACTTGGACGAGTAGGAGGTGGTGGTGCTGATGTATGGTGTACATTTTCATTAGGTACCTGTCCTTGGGGCCCTACAGCACCTCGAGACAATGGATCATAGCCAGCTGCTTTCTGCGGGTCATAGTTAGATCCCCTTTGTATGTCATTTCCTGAATCTCTTCGGAAATCATAAGTAGGTGGCGGCCTTTGACCATCATAACCAGGTGCTTTATCAGCATCATACCCTGGTCCCTTCTGAGTGTCTTGCTTAGGTCCTCTCTGTGGATCGTAACTGAGTCCAGTTGGTCCTCTCTGTGCATTGTAACTGGGTCCAGTCGGTACTCTCTCTCCATCGTAGCCGGGTCCAGTTGGTCCTCTCTGTGCATCATATGCAGGTCCAGTTGGTCCTCTCTGTACATCATATCCAGGTCCAGTAGGTCCTCTCAGTGCATCGTAGCCAGGCCTTTTTGATGCATCGTAAGCAGCCCCCAAACCACCAGGTGCAGATTGAGCTACAACATGAGGAGAAGTAACCCCAGTGCCAGAATCACGTGCTCCACTCCCAGTGCCAGCAGCTCCAGCACCAGTACCCCCTCCTAAAACTGGGGTTTGGCCCTGCTGTTCATAAAAGAAAACAGAATTAGTCACCGGAAGTGACACAAAGTTTTGCTTCTTCAATCTCGATGGTTGGAAGTCAAATCAACCATTCCAGTGTGATTTTCTTTTATGATATCATGAAAGTACTGTTTCATGTTCTGCAACCGCCTTGCGGCTTGCAAAAGATTCTCTGTGGTATATGTACTCTACATGATTTGAAGGCAAGTGTAGTACTCAAAAAATTTCAGAATGCACTGGCAATTTATAACATTATATTTTTAGAATCCTTAGATATCAGAATGCTGAGACAAGGCCAGTTCGTAAAATTCAACTAAAACAAGCCAGAGTATTTCTATACGCTTCCACAAGTTAAGGCTACAGCAATTGTCCTGTTTCATGTTACATACAGCATAGGTAAAATCACTGCAGTTTGCAGATATGGAAATGGGAAAAGGGTCGAAACTTGACCTATGGCAAAATGGCTCATTATAAGAAACAACAAAATATAAACAACTCTAGCAGTTTTGAGTTTTGAATATAAGAAACCAAATTGAAATTCTAGAACTTAGTTTCATGTAGGTCCCCAATTTCATCTCGACAGATTTTCACACAATGACTAAGATTGAGGGAGAAGATAATTGTATTCTTCATGAATTTATTTTACCACACCCATAAAAGCAAAAAAAGTGTGCTGGCGGTTGGGGTGGCTGGGGGTTCATGTGAAGACTTCCAGGATTCAAAATCAGACACTTCTTCAGTTCAACTTGGAAATATTGTACCAAAGCTTTAAATTTTGCTTGGTTGATATTACAAGAAACTAATTCACATCAGCAAGCAGATGATATATACCTGCGGTAAGCCATAGCCATCATATGTAGCATAGTTCCCCATGGGAATACCCCCACTGTAACCAGCAGAGCCACCATATGGCCCTCCTGCATTTGCATTGTGGCATGAGTTACCTAAAAGTTAAAAATGATTGCAAGACAAAATTGTTTCCCATGCAGTAAGGAAATAAATCAGAAAGAACTAAAGCCACATTTGGTTTAGATGCTTGGTAATCAAAAAAATTGTGTAATAGCTAGATGATTTAGTCATACAAATGATTGATTATCAACTTCTATTCACAATGTTCAAAATTTTTAATTTTTTAATCACTTCTGACAATTGATCCTCAAAAATCAGATCAAAATATTCAAAACAAACCCGACCCTGAATACCTGTTCGTGGGTCAAAGTTTGTGGAATTAGTTAACTCTGCTCTAAGCTTATCCACCTCTCTAGACATAGCCATATAATTCTTCTCCATCACCTGAAGTGATTCAAGATGGTCACTGTATAATTTCTTCTCATAGTCGTAAGTAGCCCTGCATAGATAAAAAGCCCAAAAATCATCAGAAACTCCAACTGCAATGCCAACTTTTAGTTTAAGAAAACATCAAATACATTACTCGTTAAGTTAAATTAACAGTGATATGAAGAAAATTACCATTCATATATTTAACAAGCTTTTAAATCAACTAGTTTACTATTGACTCTACTACTAAAGGAACAAGTTTACTATTGACTCTACTACTAAAGGAACATAAAAATAGGCATATCAGAGAGCCTAAGTTAACAATATACAAATTTATATTAAAAGTGAATACATCTGGACTTCCCTTTTATCTGGAATATAATAATTCCTCACTCTTCTTTGCTTAGAATTTTTTTTCACTTTTTTCAGACAGTGAATAGAATTTTCTTTGGGTTGCTTCCTGTTCCAACCAAATAACAAGAAAAACTACCTGCAATGCTGATATTCCTGTCTCAGGTTCTCAAGTTCAGACATTAGAGCAGGAATCTGCTGTGCCTCAGAGTGAGCCATCTGAAGATCGCGTGTCAGCTGTTGCGCTTGGGATATTAGTTCCTGCCTTGCACCAAACAAGCTCTTAGCTTCAGCATGTGCTTGCTGCAACTCTGTTTTGATGGACTCTGCAGCTTGAAGTTCAGCCTCCATCCTTGCTATTTTATCCATTAATCTTCTTGTGTGTTGTTCTTTATCAGCCTTCATATCAGCAATGTAAGCATGTACTGACTGCAACTCATGCTTAGCAGTAGCAAGATCTTGTCTAAGAGTTCTATGGGTTGTGGCAAGCCTCTGATTTTCTGTCGCAAGTTTGTCCATTTCGACATGTTGTGCAGTAAGTTTTTGTTCCATAACTTCAGGAGGCAACATTTCTAGAGGGAAACCACCAGGTGGAGGATGAATTGGAGGACCATAAGGATCAGGATGGACCATGCTCCGGCCAGGAAGAGGGAGCCGGAGGTGGGGAGGGGGGACTCTGTCATTGCTTGCCATTACCTGAAATTAACATGCGTTATAGTTACACTGAGGACAAAATATGGAATCATACTCTAAAATTGCAATGTACCAATTCAACAAACACCATAGTATAGCTTTATCATCAATGCAATGTCATGTTAATATATAATGCTAAAGGACAATCAGGCACTTAATATGAAACAGAATGGAAAGGAAAAGGAGGGAAACTAAACATTTTGAGGTGACTGATGCCAGCATGGGAACAAGAACTACAAGGCGAAACAGCAAGCAAAATGATAAAATAAAGACCAAGAGAGACAGAGTTGGTAAAATTGAGTTAGCATCACAGACGTCAGGGTAAGAACTAATGTGACCCAAGCTCATTAATTACAAAAATAATGATGGCAGAGGAGCCAATACCATGAGAATTCTTCTATTTCAGTACACACAGAGATCTTCTCACTAAAAACTTGGAGAATAGATGCATCAGTATTTAAAATTGAAAAATACAAAGATACGGTCAAATCTGGATTCTGGACAAGATTATTCTTGGGATTGAACAAACCTACTTTAAGATCTTTACAGTTTTATTTTTTCTTGTGTTGGACTATTGGAAAATTTAGGTCTTCCATTGCTTTTCCTCCTATAATACATCAGGATCAGGTTTGTGACCTCTAGAATATACAAATACTGCCACTGCATTGATGGAATTCATGTGCAGTTCACCTTTATAGGTGCATTAACGAGTCACTATGTGATAAGCTTCCCATCAGGCTCACTTATTCTAGATGAGAAAATAAGAATGGCTCATCAGCTGGCAGGAAAGGGAAACTGAATTCTGTTGCAGGGGAAAGTGGTCAGACCGAATTAGTTCGGAGAAGTTTATAAATAGGGGTAGAAGAGAAGTACACAAGCAGGTAAAAATTGAGTGAAAGATGAGCCTAATTATTTTCCTTTGTTCTGTAATTCCCTGCAGCTCAATCGAAAGCTTTATATTAATTTTTCTGTCTTCCTTTCTTCCTGTTGAGTCCTATCACTATGCAAGCCAAAACACAAGCTTTCACAAACAGCTTGGTTTACTACATCCCCTAACAATATATTAACAAACACCCGAGAGTTAACATGGAAATTACAAGCATACAATGCATTTATAGTGACGTAATAAAAAGCGGCAGATTGAAAATCAAATTCTTAATTTTAGAATTTAGAGAAAAAGGTTTGAAAACAAAATGATATGACTATGGAAGACACAAAGCCACAAGATAACAAACTAAGTCTAATTCCTAATAAATTTGGAGTTGGCTACATTAATCTTTTTCACTACTCATATTTGATTCATCACTACATATACTAAAAATTCAATGATACCAAATATCTCGCAACCGCATCAAACCATGTTAATTTTGGTCTATCTCTCCCTCTTCTAACATACTGCTTAGATTGTGTACTCTTGTAAAATGGAGTTTCATACCCGACCATCAAAGTCATCGAAGAAATCCAAAATGGGCAAAAATAAACAAATGAAAGAGCATAGGGAAACATGAGTTCAGCATTATTTAACTTCGAAATATCTGCAAAAATCATAATGAATAGGTTTTTTGATTTCTTGGAGAAAAGAACCATATAGTTAAAAAGAGGATAAGCAATCAGGGTTATTTAAATCATCAAAATCTCCGTAAACCATTAAAGATTAAGGTAACCAGATTAATAAACATTGTAGTACAAGTTTGCCTATAAGCATAGTAATAAGGAACCGCCTAATGAACTCAAAAAGCATACATCCAACGAAAGATTTCCTTCTATTGCTTTGAGTTATGGCATATTATACTATTTAAGACATCCAAGGCCAGTGCTACCCGAATTCTAAAGGTTCACAACACTTTTGATGCTCTTGGTTTGAAGCTTGCACATACTAAAACTTCCTACCACCTTTCAGAATCTGAACCATAAGAGTTTTTAAAATTATAAATACGCACCAATAAGGTCGGTGGCATGTTCTTATCAACTTGGCTTGTGCCCTAGCAATGCCTAGCATGACTCCAACGCATGCCAGCCAACTATGTGTAAACTACCAAGAAAAGAAATCTTGATGGCTTGCTTCTTCCAAATGACCAAGTAGCCCTCACTCTTCCTGTCCACAATCTGCTTTCATAGAATTTTTGGGAAGGGACAAAAAAGGGTGTTTTCATTGCCTTTTCTCACTATGGCTCCCTTGACAATGCAATCATTTTCTTTGGTCCCCCAATTTCGTCATTTTCCTACTCTACATTATAGGGTGTGCACACTTGAACTAGATGGAAGGGAATTCAAGTCCTATTTTGAAAGGGAGAAGATTCTACTTCATAGTTACTTTATCTGTGCCGGTAACTAACATACTCAATGCATTTTAGTACATCTTTGAGAATGGTTAAAGTATATCTCATTGACGTGACAGCATCCTCATTTTGAAAAGGATAGCTAGAAAGACATGCACGTTAAGATCAATGTCTCTTAGAAACCATGTGCAACAACGGGGTACATCTTGATTGCATGCCAAGTTAGCCAAGAAAGTGCCTCTTCCAACCCAACACAGTGTAAGTCAAATTTCAGGTTAGTTCAGGGTGTTTCAATGCTTCCTTCCTCAGAGAAGACTTTTTCTCCTACCTACAAAACCGTGGGGCAAAACTAGTTTTCCTAGACAAATATGCTGCGGAGGGGGGAAATGAAACACAAAAATCCTAAATCGTGCAAGAAACGATCACATTCTATACTGGGAGCAGTTGCCACAACTGGATTTTGGCCCTGTGTAATTCGCAATTGAGGGATGGCGGTTCGAAAGGTAAGGAGAAAACCATAAACAAACATATCAAAATTCTAGGAGGGGTATTGTCGAGAAAATTGCTGATGCGTGAAGAAGATTACCATCAAGAAACAAAACAGTGGGGAAAAAAATTAAATTATAATTATGGACGGAATCTTAGATCGGGGTCGTGTTGTAATTAAATCATTCACAACAATCCAATCGAGTGTGAAATCAACAAATAAAGCCCAATAAATTTAAAAAATGTTTTTACACAAATAAATCGGATATTACCTTTCAAGTTCGATGATGAAGAAGATGACTTATCCTCTTAGACAAACAGCTGCAACACAAGATAAATGGGTGGGAAGAGCCTCTCCTTCACTGTGGACTGTTCCCAGTTCTTAGTGCAACGCCAAGAAGAAAAACCCTTACAGATTGTCATCTATTGTAATGAATATGAAAATTAAGGGTCTGTTTGGGCCCCATTTTTTGACCTAAAAAATTAATTTTTTGACCGTTATTTCACTATTTCAGTCGTCATATTTGATTTCTTCTCTCACATGTGGATCCCATTTTTCTTCTAACAGTTAAAAAATCAATTCTCAGAATCACTTTAAAACAGACTGGACGGAATCTTAGATCGGGGTCGTGTTGTAATTAAATCATTCACAACAATCCAATCGAGTGTGAAATCAACAAATAAAGCCCAATAAATTTAAAAAATGTTTTTACACAAATAAATCGGATATTACCTTTCAAGTTCGATGATGAAGAAGATGACTTATCCTCTTAGACAAACAGCTGCAACACAAGATAAATGGGTGGGAAGAGCCTCTCCTTCACTGTGGACTGTTCCCAGTTCTTAGTGCAACGCCAAGAAGAAAAACCCTTACAGATTGTCATCTATTGTAATGAATATGAAAATTAAGGGTCTGTTTGGGCCCGATTTTTTGACCCAAAAAATTAATTTTTTGACCGTTATTTCACTATTTCAGTCGTCATATTTGATTTCTTCTCTCACATGTGGATCCCATTTTTCTTCTAACAGTTAAAAAATCAATTCTCAAAATCACTTTAAAACAGATTCTAAAATTGGGTCTTAAGTGGGCTTCAGTGGTTTATAAGCAAATACCATATAATGGACTTTCATCGGGCTTTATGAAGGGTAAATAACCTCAAACCATGTATTTAAAGTTTCAATTTCAAAATTCAAATCTTTATTATTTTTATGCAACAATCAGGTTTCAGTTATTTTCAACGTACAAATTTGTATATACCCTAAAAACCTACCCACCCCATATTCCTCCCCCCTCACCACGGTCCACGTCTCTCTATTATATATTTTATATTCTCTCTTCTATCCCGATCTCTATCACTTTGAATCTTGCTATATATACATCAGAGTTTACATAAGGGATTACATAATGTTCACAATGTATTTTACCAATTGTTAATTTAAAACACAATCAACTTTTTCATCCAATCCTTTTCCTCAACTTCATTTTCGATAACCGTTTATGCATAATTATTATGTACAAGTAACAAAATCCCTATCACTCCCACCCCCGTTGCAAAGAATTTTATGAAAGAACTCTCTCTAAATGCAAATTTCATCTTCTACTCTATAACTACAGATATACAGACACAATATAAATGCAATCATATTATTCAAAACTCAGTAAAATCATAAATAATTCTTTTCAATTTATTGCTAATTTTCCCAATACTATCCTGTTGGCATGAGTTGTCAATATACCATATTGAAATATGGTAGGGATGGGTTATTCCCCAGCTATAAAAGGGTGGACCTTCCTCAACAGGTGGTGGAAATGCCAATACTACCTATAAGGGAAAGACACAATACAATGGAGGTTGTACACACTGTGGTAACATGAAGTATGATCGTGAAACTTGTTTCAAGTTAAAGGGATATCCGGAGTGGTGGAATGAACTTAAAGCACGAAAATAGCGTGAACGGGAAACTAACACCAATGGTGAACCAGGATGAGCTGCTTGGGCAAAGGCAGCACATTTTACCCCACTAGTGGAACCATTAGATGAGTCAAATGCTCTCAATAACCAAGGTAAATGTGGTCTTGCATTACTTAGTTCTAGTGAAGATAATTATGGTGGCTGGATTGTTGACTCGGGGGCAACCGATCACATGACTGTCGACAGCAACAACTTTTCCAAGATTACCCAACCAAACTGAAGTAGCATTGCTAACGCTAATGGAGTCACATACCCTGTTACAAAAGCTGGAATTGTTGCTTTGTCACCTTTTCTCTCTTTATCCAATACTTTACTTGTTTCATCTCTCTCAAATAAGTTATTGTTGTAGCCCAAGTCACTGAAGAACTAAATTGTGTTGCTTTAATGTATCCTACTTTTTGTCTCTTTCAAGATATTATTACACATGACATCATTGTGCGTGGTGCTAAGAGAGAGGGGTTGTATTACATGGATGATTTTAGCTTGGGAAAAACAAATAACATGCATCATTCAACTACTATCAAGGAGAGGCAGATTTGGCTATGGCATCGTCAATTGGGACATCCATCTTTCAGTTATATGAAGTATTTATTTCCAAGCTTATTCTCAGCCTTACATGATTTAGACTTTAAATGTGAAACTTGCATTTTAGCTAAAAGTCATCGTGTATCTTTTCCAATAAGCTTGAATAAAATTGATGTTCTATTTGCTTTTTAATCCATTATGATATTTGGGGACCCTGTCCAATTACTACTTTCTCTGGTATTCGTTGGTTTCTGACATTTGTTTATGATTGTACTCCAATGACTTGACTATATTTGTTGAAACACAAAAATTACATCTTCCATGTGTTTAAGTCCTTTCATGCAATGATTAGGACTCAATTTTTAGCAAAACCGAAGATCCTTCGCTCTGACAATGGTGGGGAGTATGTTGATCAGGAATTTCAAGCTTATTTCCAGAGCCATGGTCTTCTTCATGAAACCTCCTGTACTCAAACACCACAACAGAATGGGGTGGCCGAATGAAAAAATAGGCACATCTTAGAAATTGCTCGTGCTTTATTGATTTGAGCACATATGCCAAATAGATATTGGGATTCTGCTGTGGTCACAACAGTACATCTATTGAACCGTGTGCCTTCAAAAGTGTTGAATTTTAAAACTCCATTGTAGACTCTCTCCCATCACGTTTCTCTACCATCTATTTTGATGATCCCACCTTGGATATTTGAATGTGTTGCCTATGTTTATTTCCATAAAAATCAACGTACTAAGCTTGATCCATGTGTAATACGATGTATTTTTTTGGGGTATACTACACAAAAAAAGGGTTATATGTGCTACAATCCTACCACACGATGTACCTATGTCACCATGGATGTTATTTTCATGGAATCTGAAAGTTTTTACTTTTCATCAGCATCGAATTCTTCTCTTCAGGGGGAGATAAGATAAGAAGAGCAGAATTGGTGGAATTGTGAGATATTTGAAGACACCTACAATCCAGTGCAGTTTGAAGGTAGGTCAGGAGACAGGATTAGTAATGATACCATACAAGACAGTACACAAGAAGTTGAAGTTGAAATTGTACAAGTTGAGACTGAAAATACAACACCCTCACTCTCTTCAGTGCCCAACGACCCATCTCCTGAGAATATTCCCGAGGTAAGCTCTCCAACTACACCATCTCCTGATAATAGTTCAGATATTTCTGTTGGTTATAACTTGCCTTTCAGACATAGTCGTGGAAAGCCTCCAAATCGATATTCACCAGATTTAGAGGAAAGAAGATCGAAGTATCCAATTGCCAACTATATATCGACACAAAAATTGGAGGAACCTCTCAAGGTGTTTGTCTACAATTTGTTTGCATGCCAGATTTCCAATGAAATACAACAGGCCTTAGAAGATCCAAAGTGGGCTCAAGCGATAAAAGAAGAAATGGAGGCACTGCAAAAAAATAAAACATGGAATCTTGTTCCATTGCCAGAAGGAAAAAAAGACAATAGGGTGTAAGTAGGTTTTCTCCATCAAACATAAGGCTGATGGGTCCATTGAAAGAGACAAGGCAAGACTTATGGCGAAAGGATATATGCAAACATATGGCGTAGACTATCAAGAGACGTTTTCTCCAGTGGCAAAGCTAAACATTGTGAGGCTCTTATTATCTCTTGCAGTAAATTTAGATTGACCACTACATCAGTTTGATGTAAAGAATGTCTTTCTTCATGGTGATCTTGAAGAAGAGATTTATATTGATATTATACCAGGATGCAGTGTTTCTTCAAAATCAAGGGTTGTATGCAAATTGCAACAATCACTATATGGACTAAAATATTCACCCCGTGCATGGTTTGGTCGTTTTAGTTTGGCTATGAAGAAACGTGATTTTCAACAAAGTAACTCAGATCATACTTTGTTCTTGAAGCATAGACAAGGAAAGGTAACAACTCTAATAATTTATGTGGATGACATGATTATTACAAGAACTGACATGGAAGAGATCGACATGCTTCAAAAAAAATTGGCAAATGAATTTGAAATGAAGAACCTTGGGGACCTAAAATATTTCTTAGGGATTGAAGTAGCCAGATCAAGAAAGGGTATATTTTTTTCCCAAAGAAATATGTGTTAGATTTATTATCTGAAGTGGGCCTTTTTTATTGTAAACCAGCTGATACCGCAATTGCTCAGAATCATAAGCTTGGAAAATACCCAGATCTAGTCCCAACTAATAAAGAGAGATATCAAAGATTGGTTGGGAAACTAATTTATTTATCCCACACTCGACCTGACATTGCTTATGCAGTGAACACAGTGAGTCAATTTATGCACTCACCAAGTGAAGAGCATATGTATGCAGTAATTCGAATTCTCCGATATTTGAAATCTGCACTAGGGAAAGGACTTATGTTCTTCAAGAACAATCATCTCAATGTCCATGGCTATACTGATACAGACTGGGCCGGTAGCATATCTGATAGGAAGTCTACATCAGGTCACTTCACATTTGTAGGAGGCAATCTTGTCACGTGGAGAAGCAAGAAACAAAAGGTGGTGGCTTTATCAATTGCCGAAGCTGAGTTTAGAGGCATAGCCAAATGACTTTGTGAACTCCTTTGGCTTAGGATGTTACTGATTGAGATTGGCTTTGCACCTAAATCTGAATTGAGCTTATTTTAAGACAATAAGGCAGCCATTAACATCTCCCATAATCCAGTTCAGCATGATAGGACAAAACATGTTGAAGTTGATCGACATTTCATTAAGCAGAATCTCGAGTCCAAGATAGTTTGCATCCCATTTGTGAAATCTAAAGATCAATTAGCGGATATACTGACAAAGGCTGTCTACAGCAAGGTCTTTCACAACTTGCTTAACAAGTTGGGCATATACGATATCTATGCACCAACTTGAGGGGGAGTGTTGGTGTGAGTTGTCAATATACCATATTGAAATATGGTAGGGATGAGTTATTCCGCAGCTGTAATGTAAAATTCCCTTTGTTTAGCCAAATTTTTGGCCTAGAATAGCTCTCTTTATTTTGCTCTCAACACTATATATGTATATGATTGTATTCATTCAAAAATAAGAAAAATATAATCCCTTTGTTGTCATAGACCTCAATGAAATTATACATTCATTACTCGTTGTTTTTCAATTTTTTTCCATCAATTTGCTTTGTTTAAATTTCAAGGGAAAAATAGGTAAAAATTTTTGAAATTTTTAGCACCAATTGTTAATGGATTTCAAATCTGATGGCTGGTCATGGATATTAAATCTGATGGCTGTATAGTGGTGGGTTTACGGTGTACAGATCTGTGTAAGTGGTCTGTTGTGGTGATGATGCTAGTAGCCTAGTACTTATACTTGATGGTAGCTTGACCTTCAAATTGTTTGAAGTCTCAGCTTAGAGTT